TCTGTGACTGACAGGCATTTAGGTTGATTCCATGTTTGCTATTGTGAACAGTGCTGCAATGAACATTCATCTGCATATGTCTTTATGGTAGAATGATTTATATTCCTCTGGCTATATCTAGTAATGGGATTGCTAGGTGGAATTACAGTTCTGCTTTTAGCCCTTTGAGCAATTGCCATACTGCTTTTCACATGCAACTCCCTCTTTTTATGCATCTAACATGAGACTCTCAAGTTAAGTGGCTAGCAGAGCCAGAATTAGAGTCCAGCTTTTCTGACTCCTAAACTTATACAATCCCTCTAGAGTCATGAGACACTTGAGGAAAAGAAAATTCTCCCATCCTTTCCTGTGCCCTAAATGTCACTTCTGTCCTTATGTCCCATATATGGAGAAAGGCCATTTGATCTTATCACTTGGCGGCGTGGCAGTGAGGCATGTATGTTGAGGAGGGTGGTCACAGGGACACAGAGACTTTGAAGGCCTTTCCTGATATCCTCCAGAGACAGCTGCTTAGCTTAGCTGAGATGCTGACCAAACCCCTGTTCTAAGAAAGGCCCTCAGCACATAGATGTATGGAGGTGGTTGAGAAAAGACCAGCGATTCCCAGTGTCTGAACCAGGGACTGAGTCTCTCTCAGAAGTGGGAATTGAAAATTCAATCTCAATCTAAGACAATTTGGCAGGAGCTCTGTCTGAGCAGGGGTGACCTCAGGTGTGTCAGGTTCAGGATATTATCAGTGGGCACCTAAGGACACAGTGCAGGACAAGCTTGGCAGCAGCATGGAAAAGCGTGAGAATGCCACACACTTTGTCCATAGCCAAGAAATCAGCACTGTGGAAACCTAATTGGGCTTTGAAATTAGCACTTCATGGAGGGGAGATTGATTCCTCCTTGGTTCTGTTTCCCTGACTCTGGCAGCAGATACTGTCTAGTAATTAGCTGGTGATAGTTTTTATCATTTCCTTCCTAGGATGCTCCAAAGTTTCACAAAGTCTGATACACTTATGTTAATTTTCCTTTTTTCTCAACTTTCTGGGCATGGTGTTTTTGTTCTTGTTTGGTTTTGTTTAGTTTTGGTTGCAAAGTGGGTTAATTGGCCTCCTTCACTGATCTCGTGAATTCCTCTTTTGATTTTCAGATATTTTCTTTCCTTCAATATCAAGACCAAGAACTGGCAACTAGTAAGTACCTTTGACCTCAGGCTAAAGTCCCTGGGTTTTTATGGTACCACTAAGCTACTTGTTCATCAAGAGCTTCTTGTGGGAACCTATTTCCTGCAAGTAATAGGCCTACTGCAGTTAGTTTTGACTTGTTTGTTCTTACTAGCACATTTGCTGCCACCAAAACCACAAATGATTCGCAGTGCATCACAACCTGATCCAATTATCCCAAGTTCTTCAGTTCCCACATCCGGTCATAAACTTTCTGAAGATGACTGTATAATAATCCCTGCCATGTGCTTAAATCTTCAGGACATGTCATTTTAAAGAAGATTGCCTTAAGGATGCATTATGGTCAAGTTTCCTTTCCTACTGACCAGATTAAGCTTAAGGGAGAAGGGAAAAGAGTCTATCTGAATCCCAAACATCCCTAGATTGTGATGGCTACTGTAGTTAAAAAAATAAAAATTAAAAAAAGAAAGTGACTTTCTGAGACAATAGTCAGACATCATGGCACTTTCTAGATGCCAGGACTATGGTAGGTACCTTAGGAGTACCACATAAAGACAGGATTTTGTTCATAAATCCTTTGGAGGCAATCAAGAGGCAGACTGGTTGGCATGACATCAGGCAGCTATGTGTATCCTTAGCTCCATGTCTGACAGCTGAGTGTGCCTCAATTTCCTCCTCAGTCTCCTTTTCACAGTGCAAATAGACTGGAAAAGATCTTACCTTAGAGACTTTAGGATGTCTACAAGTGCAAGATTTATTTTTACAGGACATTTCTCCTTTAGTCTATGGCAATGAATGCACATCCTCATCACTTTCAAAGGCAGTGTTGGCTGGACTCAGAATCAAGACAAGAGTGATCAGGGTACTTCATCTCCCTTCTGCAGCCTGGCAGGTGAGTGCAGCTTATCCTGCTGGCTAACATACACCAACTCAGCTCCACTCTCTATGTGAGCTTTAAGGTTCTTAGTCCCCACATCCATGTCTTCAGGGGCAACCTGACCAGCATACGAATTTGCTATTTTCATATTTTACAGAATAAATTAAAACATGAGCGATTTGGATTAGATAACATGTCGCTTTCCTAACTGGAAGTTTGAACACTAAAATATTGGCATGATGTTCCTCTGAACTCTAAAAATTGATGCTGATAACATTTCATGTGCAATGAAACCAGATAACAGAAGAAAAGAAAACTCATTTTTGTTTAGATGTTATTAATGTGTCACACATTTATACACATGGCACTGCATGGGAAGTATTATTTTACCAATTTTACAACTGAGGAAACAAAGATATTCTCAAATTTGTACATTTTAGAATAGTCAAAATTCTGCCTGGACCTGTCAGATATCAAATTTCCTGATTTTTCCAACACAGCAATTCATCCAAAGACAGTCATATTATCATTTCATACAGATCCCTGACTTCTCAATTCCATTCTTAAAGCCCCTTGTCTATCACTATTAGACCTTTTTATTTTGTGTTAATAAACTGTTTGTTTCTAGAAAGACTTTGCCTTCTTGAAAAATATTAAAGATTCTAAAATATCTTAGGAAATTAAAATACTTTAGAAAAAAAACTGCCTGAGTAAAATCTTTAGTGATACAACATCCTATGGCCTGACAGGTGTGGCAGGCCATGAGCATAGTTTGCTGAAAGCTGCTTTGGCCCTTCAACCCAGGTCAGCTTGAGGAGAATAGGACAGAAATGAGGAGGAATATGGAAAATCCTGATGGATTAATAGTTGTCTTCAGTTCTGCACACTAATATGAATGGAGACAAATTGTCAGAAATCCTGTCTTGTCAATAGAGATTTTAGGATATTAGAAACAAAGTTCACATAAGCTGGTGAAGATATTCCCCAATCAGCTGGTTCTGTTGGGTTCCATTAAGTGCTAGAATTTGAAATACATGGGTCAGTTTGAGAATGTCTCAAGCCATGTTTGTACAAAAATAATTTGCTTATATTACCTCAAAACTGAGGTAGTCTTCAGAAAGTTTGGTAACCAAGCATTTGAGATCTCTATAAAAGAACTGGCCCTCACTGTCTGCTCATTGCTCTCCCAATCGTGTCTTTCATTGGCCTCCAAAGATGGTTAGCAGATGGAGTTCTCTCCAGGCCAAATATATGGCCACATATTGCTACCTCTCTCCCGTGTTAACCCTTCTCTTGCCCATGACACATATCACTAATTACAGTACTGTTTCCTACTATAACCAGATATAGCCTTCTCAACATTCTAAAATGTACAAATTTGAGAATGTCTTTGTTTCCTCAGTTGTAAAATGGGTAAACCACTAGCAATCATTTGAAATTTGCGTTCAGAAGATCTAGGCTTCCAAATCACCCTAGGGACTGCTGAATAGTGAGCTTCCCTTGTCGGATTCTCCCAGAATCTGAGTCATGACTCAGAGAAGCATCCAATAGAGGATGAGAGAAGAGCTTTGTTCATTACTATCTTAAGAAAAGACTTGGGAATAAACAAGGCTCTCAGTCTATAAAATGCTTATGAATCACCTGCAGATTTGTTAAAATATAGATTTTTATTCATTATGTCTGAAATTTATCCCCTCTCAATTTTTCCTCCTTTAGTTTCTATCTCTTTATCTATTTGTGCTGCATTTTGAGAAATCTTGGGAGTTAATGTTACAGTGCAATGGTTAAACACAAGGGCTCTTTTTAGATTCAAGACTAGTTATGTGACTCTTGGAAAATTACTTATCCTCTTTGCCTTAATTTCCTAATCAATAAATTGAGAATGAAAAGATAACCTACTTTATATCATTCTTGCAAGGATTAAATGAAATTGTATGTATTAAATGCTTAGAATAATGCCAGGCACATAATAAGCACTCAATGAATATCAGATAAGATTAATATTTTAACACAATTTTATGATGCACTAATTGACTCTTCAGTTATGTCTAGTTCACTATGTCTTGTTATATCAACAACCTTATTTTTCATTGCCATTATTTCTAATTGGTTCTTTTCCATAATAATCCACTCTTGATTTATAACATCATATTTTTATATATCAATATAGCTATCTATATGTCTATGTATAGATACTTTCACTTCTTTATCTCTTTGAAGTTATTAAATGTCATTACATTTTTGATCTTATAAAATTACCCTTTTTTTTTTTTACTTCATTAGATGTAAGTTCTTTTTTGAAATTGTGCTTTACTGTCTATCTGGAGGCTTTTAGCTATGAACTTATTATGGTCAGAAGATTTTTCAAGATTTCAAAAATAAGCTGCTAGATTATAATTTCCACATACAAGCTTTGAGCAGGGAGCATAGTGCCAGTACACAGCCCCACTCAGGCATCTGTGTAGAGATCACCCCCAGGGAAGTTCAATTCCAAGCCCTCTCTCTGCAGTGCAACCCAAGTCTAGCCCGTCGGTTTAGTGCAGATGTCACTGCCCTGACTCCTGGCTTTGTGCTAACTGCTCAGCTCTCACTTCAGGTGGCTTTGCTGTAGACTGGCAGGGCAGTTTCACTCCTGGCCATCCTCTGGCCTCAGATTCACCCATATTTTTAGAGCCTTTTCTCATATCACCCAGGTTCAGCCATTTTATTCAACTGCTCTGGGGCCTATTTGGCATTTTCCTTTCTGCATTATTCTCAGGCTCCTCCCATGGGCTTTATCACTTCCCACACTCACTTGTGCCACATACTCTCCTGAACTCTGTCCCCAGTGTTACAATTACATTTAATGAGGCAAGATATTCTGGGGGGTAGGGGGGCAGGGGCTCACTCTGTCGCCCAGGTTGAGTGCAGTGGCGCATTCTCGGCTCCCTGAAGGTTTAACCTCCTGAGCTCAAGCAATCCTCCTGCCTCAGCCTCCCAAGTTGCTGACACTACAGGCATGCATCACCAAGCCCAGCTAATTTTTGTTTTTGTAGATGCGGTTTTGCCATGGAGACCATGCTGGTCTCAAACACCTGAGCTGAAGCCATTCACCCTCCTCAGCCACCCAAAGGGCTGGGATTACAAGCATGAGCCATCATATCTGGCCAAGATAACTCTTTATCAGAAACACTTAGGAACAAGTTTGTCTTCCCCTCCCTATCTCTAGAGCCCCAAGTTGCAGAAATTTTCAAACCCATAGTCTTTCAAAATCCCACAATCTCTCCAAGCCTCCCATTTCTCTACAGTCATTCTTACAGGAGACACCAATACCGGAAGCTATTTGGGCCTTGGCAACACCAATCACTGGGCATGACAGCAAGTCTTAAAACCAGGAAGGAGGAGGGGGCAATAAAAGTGCCCACAAGTGGAGAAGCTTACCATCTTCATACAGATCTCAGCTCTCTGCAGCCCCTCTCCTTGCTCTCTGGCTTTCTCTTTATAATTGCTGCAGTAGTCCTCTACAAGGTATAGCTCTGATATAACACTTCAGAACACATTAACCATCATGACAACCTCATGGAAGACACTTTTTTCCTTTCTCCTGTGGTATGGACTGGACCAGTAACTGTTTCTCCTTCCAATCACACACACACACACACACACACACACACACACACACACACACACACACTTCTCAAGATGAAAAAGCTCATGTGATAAGACTTGCTGCCTTCTTCCATGATTCATTTCCCCCTTTTCCATATGCTGTCTGCCTACATAAATACCTTTAGCCTGTTCATTAATTTCCTAGTAAATGTATTTGATTATTCCCTCTATTCCTTTTTTCAAACACTCCATTTGCTTTTTAGAAGTTTTAGCTCTAACCTTATGCTCTCTATCTCTCTAACCCTGCAGTGATTGTCACTGTCTTTCTGTGTTTCTCTTTCCTCAAAGTCTTGTAAAATAGAACATACTGCAAAGCAGTGGTGTTCCTGGGATTTAGCATTTGGGGTGGCAGATGGGGTAGTAACAAATCTGCTTGTGGGGGCTGGGTACATCCCCCAGCACTCCCAACCCATTGCATACATTTTAAATTAAAAATATTAAAGATAATAGAATTAAAAGCACATTAATATGCCACTTAATCTATTTAGGAGAAGTTGAGAAAACAAACTCTTTAATACTTAACCTAGCACAACTCACGTATAGCTAAACATAATCCCCTTGATCAGGAAGCAGGTATGAGAGATTTCACTTTTGTGGTATGACTAAAACTCAGCCATTGATGAAGAAAGCATTGGCAAATGCAGCTCCAGGACAAGAAGTTAAAGTTGGCTGTCAATCATGTTTCATTTGGACTCTGTTTTTGAACCCTGGTTTTTACTCACTGTTTTCACTCAAACTATCCACAGACCCATTTGTTAATAAGACCAGGATTCTTATTGCTAAATCTTAATGTTATGTTCTTTTTTATGTATTCCTCATTTAGATTGTAAACTCTCTTAGGAGTAAGGACTGTCAGTCTGTTCCATGAGATGCCAGTGTGCACAGTAGGAGGGAAGTGGAGCACCTCCCATCTTCGAGCAATATGCACTGTGCAGGCATGTCACCTGTTCATTCTTCTGTAATCATTACAACCACCTATGTTCATAGTTGTCAATATGGAAGCCCATAAAGGCGAAGTAATTTTACCAAGATCGCAAAACTAGTAAGAGAGCTTAGATGCAAACCCAAGTCTTGACTGTAAAGCTTACACCACACTGTGCCACTCAGTGCTGCATGAATACAGGATGAGTGATCGATAAATGAATGAATCAATCCATCCTGGACCCAAGGCACTTAAATTCTGCCAGTTCTACTCTCTGATTGCAAAATAAAGGGTGGCTACTTAACAGCAGATGTGAATGAAAAGAATGACATTGACCTCTAAATTAAAATTTTCAACATTTAGATATGCAAAAAACAACAGCAATAACTCTCCTTAAAATACTAGAAGCTGTTATCAGTTTTGTTATCCCATCTGAGAATTGACTGAATGAAAACAGAATGACTAAGAGATGCCTGGGTCAATGTCATAGGGGCTATTGTCAATCTAGAATTAGAACCAAGAACCTTTGAAAGTGGCATCCTCTGTCCATCAATCCATAATTTTTAAAATACTAATGCACAATTTTTCACCACAAGCACTAATGGAAACTGCACCAGGAGTAAAACTTTATTATCTATTAACCAATATTGAATACCTATTAAGGATAGACATTGTGTGGGCACTGTTGGGTTTTCTAGAGTGAAAGAGCAGACTTCAGCTCCAGCCTCCTTTGTGATGTAACCACAGTGAAGCTAGAGAATTACATCAAGCACTGCAGATGGTATAGACTATCCTAATTGCAATTCCAAATTGCACTAAATGCTTTTCTAAATAGAAAAAGACTCAGATAAATTAATCTGAAAGGACATAAAATTGCAGTCATGGGGAGATAAATCTTTCATTAGCAAATCTTTCCATTTTGCCTGACCACTTCTAAGTAACTTTTAGATCACTAAGGACACACACACACACACACACACACACACACAAACACACACACACACAATTTTCCATGGCTTACGGAAAAAATAAAAGCATTTCCATTCTGTTCTGTGTCTTTTAAAGAATTCCCTGAGGAATTCTTTAAGTTGAGGCAAATCAGCACACATAAATACATCCATTTACCATCGACTTGAAAACTAGAATTGCTGGTCAATTCAGGCAGCATGCAGCAAAATGTTTTCTCCAGGTTTCCTTGAAGAGATAAAAATATTGTGAAAAATTCGAAGGAGTGTATATACTGAGTTGCAGGGTTTGATGTGCTAGCCTCTAACGGACCATATTTCCATGCACCATAAAGACTGCTGCTTTATGCCAAGTCTACATGCTGTGCCATCAGAATGAAATAAGCCAAAGAAAAATCATAGTAAAAATGGCTACCATTTATAGGGCATTTAGCACGGGCAGACACTACCCTAAGCACTATACTTGCATTACGTCATGTAATTCTCATAATCACTCCAGGATGTAAGCATTATTTTCCTCATTTTACAAAATAAAAAATGGAGTCTCAGAGAAGTTAAGCAGATCACTTAAGGTCACACAGCTAACAAGTGATGAAGCTCTATGAAACTTGGTGCCTTTCCTCTGAATGCAATGCAACATTTCCACAGGTACAACTGTGCTGTCAATAAGACCACCTGGCCTTCCCTCCCAGCTCAATAATGTAGTTACTGCCAAGCTTCAGATAGGATTCTCTATCAAAAATGCTTTAAAAGAACCACAGATTTTCAGCAAAGACACAGAACTGCTAAAGCAAAGACACAGAAGCTGTTCCCACCTATTATATGGCCATTTATTTGCCTCTTCCTCATGACTCACTTCTGCACAAATCTATACTGTAATGAAAAATCCACAATGAAGAAAGCAAACTATTTGTGCTCCACCTCTAGATGGACAAAAAGATGAAGAGGCATACTGACACACTCACAGACACACACACACCCAAATGGAAAACACAGATTTGTTTTGACAACCTATTGTACTACAAAAATATTTATGAATGTAAGCTGCAGCAAAGTGCATCTATCTTCCAAAAGCACACATACCCGCCAAAGGCTGCTGAGATTCAGGAAGGTGAGAATACCCTCCCATTTAACTGCCTTCAGGCTAAGGGGGGCACAAGAGGGAAGCCTCCAGTTTTCCATTATCAGGGTTTCTCATAATGTCATTCTTTTCACAGAACATTCTTATTCTTCACATCCACTGTTAAGTGACCACCCTTTATTTTGCAATCAGAGAGTTGAGCTGGCAGAACTGAAGTGCCTTGGCAGCTGCAGAGATGAAACTCAACTGAACAAACAGATTCTTAAGTGATGCTTAGACGGAAGAACTTGGACATGGTTCAGATTTTTTAAAAATTCACTTAAATGTGTGATTGAATCCTGCTCATTACCCTCTCGGCAGTATATTATATATTCAGCTCTTTTATTGTATAATAATATTGAAGGTAGAAAATAAAAAGGGTACAATATTACCAACTCTTATTATAAAAGAGCAGCTTTGTCATAAACAATAGTCAATAAATGCATATAAGTTAATTTTTCATAGCAATCTATAACCAGAAATTGAAATATGCTATTTTATTATTTGATCCAAATTTCTTGAGACAAATCCTTCTGTGTGGTAATAAGACTAAAGTTTTGTAGTAAACAGTGTGTGAGAAGGTGCAGGCCCAATTTTAGAATGTTGCTTAATGAGGACCAATGACAGATGACTTTACTACAGCACTGCCCGCCACCTCTCAGACCACATTTCCAAACACTCCTCTCCCCTCACGTTGCTCCAGACATTTAGACCAATTTTTTTTTTATTTCGATAGGCTTTTGATGAGCAGGTAGTGTTTGGTTACATAAGTTCTTTAGCGTTCATGTCTGAAATTTTGGTGCAGCCATCACATAAGCAATGTACCCAGTGCATAGTCTTTTAGACCCATTTATTTTACATGAAAGTCCCAAGCATGTCCCCCTCTCACAGTCATTGAATTTGCTATTTCCTCTGCCTTAAACACTCTTACACTAGACAGTCATGTGGCTTAAACCCTCACTTCTTTTAAGTGTCTCCTCCAATGTTACCTTCCATCTTCACCCATCACTCTCCATCCTCCTAACCTACTTAATTAGTTTCTTCATATTTGCATCAGTGGATGTATATTTGTTTGATTGCTGACTTTGTTCTCCCACTTGAAGGTAAGTTCCAAGGTCAAAGGGACTCTGCTCATTGCAGTAACCCCAGCACCTGGATTAGTACTTGCACATAGCAAATGCTCATGAATGAATAAAATGAATGAATATCCCCAGAGCCAGCTTAAGGCTGGGGGGTACAGTGGGGTGCTGGTATAAGATGTCCATCTATAAAAGGGGGCTGAAGCTTAACTGAAAAGATAGTGATATAAAGAATATTTATTTTAGAATTCCTCTGCAAATG